TGGTGGGCCGGGAGCCGGGTGTCACGGCCGTCGAGGTGAGCAGGGGCGGGAGCGAACCGCACCCCCGAGGGCAGTGGGGTCCCCTCCCCCACGTGCACATGCATGGGCAGGGCCATGGGCCTGGCGTCAGGGGCAGGTGTACAGATGGCGTGGCGGGCTGTCCCGGGCAAGTCCCCCAGGTGTGAAAAGCATAGGGTGGAGGTGGAGAAGTGGGAAGCCAGCACCGCGCCCCTGCAGTGAGCGCTGCCTAGGAGCCCCATCTCCTCATCCTCCCAGGTGCGGTCCCCGCTGTCCGATGCCATCCTCGGGGAGCAGACGCTGGCCGTCACAGACGACAAGGTCTCCGTGCTGGAGCTGCGGGTGCAGCCTGTGATGGGCATCTCACTGGCCCTGAGCCGGGGCGCTGCCCACCCTGGGGAGGTCACGGCCACATGCTGGGCACAGGCAGCTCTGCCCGCCCCGAAGCAGGTGATGGCTGCGGGCCAGGGGGATGAGGCGCACCCCAGCTGTGGGAGAGCAGGGTGGGTGGGCGCTCACCCGAGGGCTTTCAGGACAAGCCCAGCTTCTCGGGAGGCAGTTGGCTTGCTGCAGTGGGAAGTCAGTCAGCAGCCTGTGGCAGTGGGAGGTTGTATAATGGCTCTAACCGAGAACCCTCCCAGAACGGAACCCTGGCGGGGTGGCGGACAGGTGATTGACAGGCGTCCCCTCTCTCCCATGTCCTGTCCTCCGCCTGTGTGTGTTCTGTGCTCTCTCCGTCCGTGTGCCTTGTCTGTGGGAGCGGTCTTCTGTGCATGCCTGCGTGCCCTCGCGTGTCTGCCTGTGTCCGTGTCCCACAGGAAGTAGCCCTGTCCCTGTGGCTGTCCTTCTCCGACCACACAGTGGCCCCCGCCGAGCTCTACGACCGCCGCGACCTGGGGCTGTCCGTCTCGGCCGAGGAGCTGGGCGCCATCCTTCCTGCTGCGGAGCGGGGCACCCAGCTCAGGGTGGCAGTGAGTGGGGCAGGCACTGAGGCGCTGCCCCTGCACGTGGCTCTGCATCCAC